TCTCGGGTTTAGGGTTTTGGGTTTTGGGTTCCTGGTTCCTGCCTCAGCATGTCGGAAGTTCAGTTTAAGTGGTTCCCTTGTATACCCCCCTACCCACCCACAACCTATATATACTTACATGTACAATTCTTCTCTATGTATAATATGTGTATACATAGATAGTATTTAGGGGTATGCCAGACAGACCCTCACTTCGAGAAATAGCCTAACCCACAAGATATACTTCCGGAAATGTGGACCAACCGCGGGGAGCCACTACTACATCGCCGTGGCTGAAAGATGGGTTAAGCTTTAGGGTTTCTAGGTTTAAAGTTGAGGTGTTAAGGGATCACCGAGCTGGTTGGACTTCATCAGGGGCTTCGGAAACTATCGTTTAGGATTGAGGGTGGCGAGTAGGGAATGGAGGTATGGATCCCTGCAGTAGCCTCTGTATAAGCCATGGTGACGGCGACACAGTCGTTTCCATGGTCTTTTAATTAAAGACCGTCGTTTTCTACTAACCGCCAGCGAACTGACAAGGGGTCTGAACTTTCGAAGGCTGCTGTCTCGGGAATCTCAACCAGAAAATGGATGCCTAGATTTCTAACTTGCACTCCCCAACGCAAACATGGAACCTGAAAGTGGTTGCTTTCTCAGGTTCTCTATCAATTTTAAGGAGCGGTGACTTTCAGCATGTGGGCGAAAGGCTCGGCATGTAGGAAGCATGAAAAATTGACCCCTGGAACTCAAGCATTGCTCGCACAAGCCTCAAGTAGATCCACTTGCGCTGGCACAGGAAACCCTTTTCCACTCTGCATCTTGGTCTTTGGTGGCAAGCCGCAATGGTCTTACAACTCTCAGAGCTCTGGGGCTTTGCACAGATAAAACAAGGTAGCTTCCCATATTCGAGGCCTCAACTTGAAAACCTTGAATATGCAGATTGCTCATGTTTAAAAAAGGTCCTCCAATTTGGAAACTCCCTAGCTGGGTTTGCGCTGACGCATCCAGGGAAACATAGCTTCATCGAGGACATGGGGGACAGCTTCTCTTTCTAGACTTGAAAAGAAACTGCTTGACAACAGCTCTTCGTTGCCCTCATCCAAGCCAGCCCGAGAGAGCGTCTCAGCTGTTAAAAAAGGTGACTATACATACCTTCGATCAACCGAATGTCAAACATGGACAGCCCCAGCAGCGTCAAAAGCGCAGGCGCAAAGGCGCAGTCTTTCAGCAACGGATTTACCTTGATTCACTTAAGGGCCTGCTTAATTGTGTATTACTTACTGGTTCTTACTGAAAAAGAAGGGAATATATTATACAGGGATGATATAGTGATTCTATTCCCGTATTCCCTATTCCAACTTGAGATGCTAAACGGCCTCTCTGAAACTCTCAACCCTATACAACATATTCCCTTATTCCCTACTAACCCTCCTTGGACGGTTTCTCAGGCTGGGTTTAGGGTTTAGGGATTTGAGTTGGGGTTTTAGGGTTTAAGGATATTCCCCCAATAATGGAGAATCAAATGGAAAAGACAACGGAAATCAAATGGAAACTGGGATTGTAGAGTGGCTCATGGGGATCAGGGTTTCCGAAAATCAGGGTACCTGTAAAGGGGCTATATAGGGCTTATGTAAAGATATAGATAAGGATATATGGGGCTTAGGGTTTAGGGCTAGGGGTTTCCCAAAATTAGGGATACCTTTGAAAGCGGCTATATAGGGATTATGTAAGGGTAAATAAGGATATATAGCGTGTAGGGTTTCCCAAGATTAGGGGTACCTTTTTTGGGGGGTTCCTATAACAAGGACTATGGCATATTGGGGTCTATTGTGGGTCCCTTTCTTCGGACGACTACCATATACCCCTGGCACTCGGAGTTACGAAAATAAGGTTACCAAGGCGTGCAGACTTCCTCCATCCACAGGAGAAATGAAGGCTAAATAAGACCACGTTGCTACAAAGTCAGTCAGGCCGCTCACGCTGGTCCTTGGCATTGTCGTAGGAAAATGAAGCAGAGTTACAGATGTTTAGTAGGGAAATAACTTCTTCCCCACCCCACGTAAGCAAAGGCTGAAAATTCATATGGCTACTTGAACGGCGCCGAAGCCTACAACGATTCAAATCGCAAAGCAGAAAGATGGGTCCTTTGCAACGTTGATGTCAACTGGTACCTGCTGCAAATGAGCCTTGTAAGAATGGTCCAAATGAGCTACAGCCTTAACTCCTAGTATCTCCCATAATAACTAGATAAGCCATCTTATACTCCCCATCCCCTATATAATCCCCCTTTAAGGAGTTTTGAGCCTAACCCTAAGCCCCGTATTATCCCCTATGTAATCCCCCTTTAAGGAGATTAGACTATGGCTCCCATATCAGGCCCCCGCGTTGTTTCAGGAACCAGGTGAATCGTGAAACTGGGAATTCTCTGCAGGGCTTCTTTGCATCCATCCAGGGACAGCCTAGATCCTACACCCTAAATCGTAAATCCTAATCCCTACATCCTGACCACTTAAATCATAAACCATAAAATCCTACACCCTAAACCCTAAACCCTAAATCCCTAAACCACAATGGCCAAGGAGTGTCAGATTCTCATTGTAGGGCGGCCGGTGATGAACTGCATGGTGCTTTGCCGGGAGCAACCTGAAGCCATGTGGGCTCAGGGCGTAGGGCACCAAAAGACAAGAAAAGATCTAGGGTTTAGGATTTAGGGTTTAGGGTTTAGGGCTACCTGAACCCCAAAAGTACGTAAAACAATGGCCTTTATGGCTATTATTAGGGGTTTAGGGCTATTGTTTTACATACTTTTGGGGTTTAGGTAGGGTTTAGGGCTGAGGGTCTAGGGTTTAATGGTTTAGGGTGTCCATTCATCTAAGCCCTGCAAGTCAATACTGCATGACAGACTAATTCGCCACAACTAGGAGGCCTTCTGACAGGTAAATCCTGTAGCACCTGGAAGATTGAAACAAGCCTCCCTGCCCAACACCAGTGTTCACCGTCCTCCCATAAAACCCACGCCATAAGCCTTGCAAACCTCATAAACCCAAGTAAAGGGAAGTGCAAGTAAGCAACAAGTGCATCCCCTGCAAAGCACGGACGACGAAAGGTCGCTGGCTCTCCTGAGCAGCTCTTGCCCCCGTCAATCCGGTTTAGGGCTTCGGGACCAGCTGGGAAGAAGGAATGCTTTATTGGGTATACCCTCTTTGTTGGATTTTTTGGAATACGATGCACCTGAGCTTAGGGCAGAAAAAAGGGCACAAATAAGTTTATGCTAGCTTTTGGGGATACACCCTCGCTTCTACAGCATGGAACAGTGGGACCAGCTGACTATGATACAAACATGCGACCAATTTGCCGCGAAGACATTTCTGAATGATTCCCCTACGGCGCTCCATATAGTCACTCCGCAAACGATCTTTCTTGGGGATTTGACCTGGGCACATCCGCGCGCTAGGTCCGATGCTCACAACAAGGGGAGAACCAGCAAGGATAAGCTTTTCTTGAGTGGATATCCGCGACATAGACGTGGATGTCCGCGGGACTTGTGAAAGCTTATGTGGGTCTGCAAATACAAGGACTTTGTATAATGCGCCAACAGCCGGACCCAACACGCGACCGAAAATGCTAGGCCTGGCGACTCAACAGCCATACTCTTATAATGCAGCAACAGCACCAGCTTTTACCGTTGCATCTACGACATCAGCACCGAACCAAGTCGCTTATGCTTGTGCACTTTTGAGGGGCCTGAGCTACATGTCTGCGACAGTTTGCAAAGGGACGACCGGCTCACGGATAAGCTTCTTTCCCATGATCCTAGTCGACACGACTCCCGTGGATGGATTGCTCTGCAATGTCCAGGTGCAATGGGGGAGCTCAACCGGGATCACTTTGCACATCGAAATTTTGCCAAATCCAGAGCACAATGCTTGAACCGAGGCCGTTGGCAGCCGAAACAAGGAGTCACAACGGCTGTTATCTAAAACTTTGGCGCGTAACCAGCCTAGCCCACCAGTAGGAAGCCTGTGCAGCGACCCAAAAAAGTGCTCCCCCATAAACGCCGCTGCATGCTCTATGTTGACACATATCTTCCTAAGCCCTAAAAGCTGCACCCGACGAGCTAACCCTAAACCCTACATTACCACAGAGAGGACAAAGTCTCAGGGAAATGCGCATAGAAGTGCCCGACAGCAGAGCCGTAGGCGCCAAAAAGTAGCCTCCGATGCTTTGCTGTAGGGCGTCAAATTGAAGGACGTTGGCTTCACCAGGATTGGTCAGGGATAGTTGTGGGCTGTCGTTGAGAATGAGAATGCATGTCGGGTACCTAATGCTGTTTGAGGCCTATGTGAAGATTACAGCGCTTTTCAGGGAGCAAAAAAGAACATACCTTGTTTTGCCATTGGCGGTCAGGTCGGGAGAGGTCGCTATAATTTGCCCAACACCACATCAGGAGCTTCAGACCCCACCCCCATGTAAGGGATTCTAGCTACTCATCTTTAAGGGGCATGCTTCGTGTTCATGGTGTCTTTCTGGTTCCTAGGGGTGGGCGAGGTCCCCAAGTTCTGGTCCTTCTCGGGCAGCTACCAAAAACCAACCGAACAAAACCGTAGCCTTGCGGCAAAGTTGCCTGGGTCATACAGGACAATCTTTCACGCGTACAGATGTATATATAGCACTGAAATATTAGTACGAATAGCATTGGCAATAACAGTAATAATCATAGCAGTTATATTCCGTGCATATTGAAAGAGAGCAAGTCAGAGCTGCATCGCCCTGATTGAACCTCCCAAGCCTGAGGAGTCAAAGCATGCGGCCCAACGTGAAATTCCCAACACAGAAGCTATAGTCTAAACTCC